AACCCTAATGTCAGGATATAGTGAAAATTTCAGCAAATATGACAAAAAGTTATTTTTATAAAAGTTACTGACTGGAGCTTTAACATAATTAAGAACAGGTATAAACAGTGATACACATAAGAGCAACATGTACACAGTGTTTAAACTTGGTAAGATACAAAGAAAAGAAAGAAATATTTGACTGCTCAGATTCAACGGCAAACAGCACACACCTGTGTGAGCTGGATAGTCATGCGAAAGCAGGAAGTCACGTCCAATCAGCCACCTTCAGTAATCAGCACAGTGGCGACCACGAGCAAAGCTGCCCTGAGTGGGGATCAAACCATAAGGCTTTGCCCAGCACTCACACAAAAAGTGTTTCCCACTGTGTATTTCTGCTGGGTGGAAACACCTTTTGTACCAATCATAAGATGACGAATCCCTTGAAATGTCTAAACCCCACAGACTTCATATCATGCAAGATTGCTGGCTGGAGCCGTACACTCTGAGGCCCTCGTTCACAGACGTTGTCCGCATGCTGGAGAACGTCATTGAAAACGATGCAGTAAGGAACAGCTTGCTTTACATGACTCATTATTGATATTTTAAAGGTTATGTTATTAAATCATCATCTTTTCCATGCTTTCCTTGTTGTAATTTGTGAGAATCTTAATGTGACCTTCATGGTCCCAAAAACAGTCTTAGGCTACTTTAGGTTAGCATGTGAAGGCATATTACTTCACATACTTGTCATATTATACACTTAGTGGCTACTTTACTTACAATGCAATAGAACAGCTCTGCCATAAATTCTTACTTTACAAAGTTTATAATGTTATGTTTTGGATGACATTGTTTCATCCATATAATGTAGTCCAGAACAACAGAATCACCAACTGTGACCTCAAGGCTCAAAAGTATAATCTAATTAACACATCTAGGACAGTGTAGCAAAAGATGCAAAGAACATTATAGGCAACATGAAAGTGGCCTTTATGGCAGAACAGTTGGATTACATTAGACTGTACAGTTGTACCTAATAAAGCTGCTACTGAGTTTATGTATTACAACATATTTTCAGAGATGCCAAGACATTATTCTGTGGTTTTAGTGCAATTTGTTTATTATTTTTAAACTATGCTCGTTCATCTCAAAAGCTCACTAAATTAATTTTTAAACTAAAAACTAATTAATTTAATGATCTGTTAGGGCCATATTTTAAACTAAGGGACAGGCTTAAGTTTAATGAATAAAGCCATGTATTTTAAAAAAATGTATGAAGATTTAAAAATAAAACAATGTATTCATTTCTAATGCCACCTTTAGATATTTCTGTTGAATGCTTTACTAATCTGCTTTCCACTATTGATATATAAGATTGTTTGTGATTTAAATCAGCAGATATTTCTGCCACCTCTTAAAGTTTCCATGCCACCCTCTGGACACCCCATGAATATTTCTCTAGATCCACCCCTGCAAACAGTGTGGTTGAGGTTTCTGTAGGCGGAACACCTTTATGTTTATTGTTTGGCTATTAAAATGTACTTGTAAATGTCAGACACAGGGAGAAACCAACCAAACAACTTTTTGTTGGCCAAACATTTATGAATATGTCCTTGATGTCGTTGAACATAAACTTTTTTGTCCTCTTTTTTTGCAGGATTATGTGGATGTTGAGAGTCCGCAGCTTTTGGTGAAAGATGAGGCTGAATATCATGAAGCTAAATGTCTACGAGTAGCCAGCATAACCTTGGACGATCAAAGTCCCATCTAAATAAATATACCAAGACTCCGGATCAAGCAGTATTCTGAAAATGTATGTGTATTTAAAACAATACACAACTTTTTGCGTGACAATTATCTGTATTGGGGCAGCCTTTCAAATGCTGTTTCCAATACAGCAACTGAAAGATGATGACACAAACAACTCAACAGGGAGAAAAAGTAAATAAAACAAGTAGCATAATGTTACTTGTATGGTTAAAAAATATGTATTCATATTTTCTTGTTTGGCATTGTAAATTAATCATGTTCAGTGTTTCTACTTTAACTTTGATTTTCTTCATTTTTTAAATCAATTTTGATAACTTAATTAAAACACAAATGTTATATATGATGTGCATTATTATAATATATATTGTTACAAAATAAAAAGCAGCACAAAAACTCTGTACATGTTTGCTTTCTAAAATACATTTCTTGTGTTTACTTATTTATTATTAAAGGACAGGTGAACTTCATACCATTCATACCTTGCAAAATAAAAGAAAAAAGAAAAGACCCCATCTAGAGCCAGTGTTTGGTTTGTCCATCCTGGCCTACTGTAGAATCATGGTGGTTCAAAATGGCAGACTCCATGGAAAAGGCAGGTCCCTCTGTAGATAAAAACAGCTCATTCTAAGGTAATGAAAACTATTTTTATTATTATTTTCAGCTGATTATACACTAATTAAAACATACCTATGAAGATTATATTCTATTTCTGACAGTAGAGCCTAAATGTTACATACTGGACCTTTAAAAAATGTTTTTATTACTTTTCTTTTATATTCTAAATCTATTTTTTATTACTGATTTTCATTCATACCATTTTTATCATTTATTATTTTTCCTCAAAACTTTAGTAAACCAACAACCTATAGAACATGTTTTTAGTGATGTATTATCAGCAGAACAAAAATGACAGTTCAAGATTATCTAAAAATGTATGCATACTAACAAGTACATAAACATAAAAACTGAGTTAGAAAAAGAAATATTACAAAAAAGGTTGTACAACGATTGGAGTTTCGATCATATAGTATGAGAAAAAAACATGTTTATGGACAATTCCGACCCTTTCGAGGAGCTCCTGAAGCAGCCTGTCCAAACATGGCGTGGGATGAATGATGCCATCATCAGGAACGCCCACATGTCCCTCCGTCAGCCAATGGGATCCATCCTGGGAACACGCGTCCCCTCTTTATTTCAGAAATAACGTCTGATAGAGCGTGTAGGGAGCGAGAGGACAGCGCTTCTGAGTGAACTGGGTCGCTTCCTGTCTGTCGTGTGCACTGTATAAGCTCCAGATAATGGCTATCCGTGTATTAGAAATCATCTTTTTCTTCTATTTTGCGTCTCACATTCCTATCACGTTATTTATTGACTTGCAAGCCCTGCTGCCTCAACATGTGTATCCTCAGCCGGTAAGTGTCAGTACCAGGAGAGGATAGAAGCAACGGTACAATACAACTTATACATGTTCCAATCACTTGTTTTGTGGCTGTAATTGACTTGAATTTCCCCCAGATGAGAGATTTTGTGAAGTGGTATGCAGAGGAGTTCAAAGACCCTTTGATGATGGATCCTCCAGACTGGTTCAGGTCTTTCATTTTCTGCGAGGCCTTGTTTCAGCTGCCTTTCTTTCCAGTCGCAGCTTATGCTTTCCTAAAAGGTCAGTCAGCACAAAACATTCTCGTGTGGAATCTGTTTCTGACAGTCTTGTGCCAGACTGCGCTTACAAACCTGTCTGTTAAAAGCTGCGTTGCTCATTAACGCAGTAAACACGCGCATTAACTTGATTAAATAGCCTTTTTGTCATTTTTACGACCTATAATTGAATACGGCATTCATTTTTCAATCTAAGTAGATAACGTATCCACATTAAGAGGCCTATTGTTTTGCTCATTGGCTTACATCTACGTCTACGTCTATTCGAAGACTGTGTGGAAATTCTTATTTTATTCTGTGACAGCCTCTTGGTGAACAGAGTTAGAGGTGTGGGACTATAGTATGTATCTATTCTTAGGAGCTCTTTAAATATCATATTTTTAAAAGTACTTTCACGCTTAAACGAGCCCGCATTTAAATAATTAGTTTTTTTTATGGAGTTTGGCGTGCGGCTTATCAGAAGCCTGACCTCTTTTGGATTTTTGCTGTCATAGCACTAGAGACCCAGTGAAGTTGTGATGCATGGGGAAGATAAACAAAAGACAGTTTATATAGGTATAAATAACATTGTCATTTTAATAGGCTCTTTTCATGTATTTGCTTTGGGTTTGTTAGTCATTCTGCAGTCTTTTGATCACTGTGTCTTTCCTGTCTCTCAGGTGGCTGTAAGTGGATCAGGACTCCTGCCATTGTGTATTCCGCACATGTGGCCACCACACTAGTCCCGATCCTAAGTCGCATCCTCTTCTACCAGTTTCCTATGGAACCCCACCCAGGTCCCCAGACCCCACAGGAGCGTTGGCTGCTGGTCTCCATATATGTTCCGTACCTGCTGGTGCCTTTGCTGCTGCTGTTCACCATGCTGCTGTCCCCCACATACAACTCCACCTCAAACACATCAGCCAAAGCCAAGAAGAAGAACTGACTCAGACTACAGCTATCTAATTAACTCTGATTTTAGGAGATACTTTTATACATTTCTGAATTTGAGGGCTGAGTGAGACTGCTTCGTACTATTGTTTCAGGACACTGACATTGTTAAACCAGCCAGAATGAGCACTTTTATGTTATTCTTTAAAGTAAACACTTGTTTGCTGAACATGTTTTTTTTTCTTCTCATTTTTTTAAATACTTGAGGGACTTATTTAAAACTTTCTTGATGGAATACAGCAATAATGAGGAAAGAGAGAGGAAATTACATGCATCCCTAGCTGGACTCAAACCGGGGACATTGCAGTTACATGCAGTACGTCAGTGTCTTTAACCCCTAGGCCACCATGATGCCCCTATTGTATACATTTTGATTTTAGAAAACACAGTTGTGAATAGTAGCATCAATAATGGCCAGTGCTGGAAGTACTCAAGTACTGTACTAAACTACAATTTATACTTAAATACAAAGAGGCACTTGTACTTAACTTGAGTATTTTCTCTACTATATACTTCTAGTCCACTACATCGATTTTGCAGATTTAGATAAATGACACAAAAAACAAGCATTATATAAAGTATATAAGTATTCACATCGCAAGAAGCTACTAAAAGTAAAGTTCTGCACTGTGGTATTACTAAATATAAGCCATATTAATATTAGCATCATTTTGAATGAATATTTTCTGCGTTCTTTAGTCCTCTGACAGTGAAGTGAATATCTTTGGGTTGTGGATAAAACAAGACATTTGAGGGCTTTGGGAAACAAAGTTCAACGAAGATGAGGGAGAACAACTTGATGTTCTGACAACAACCTGATCCTGAGTGTGAATGAAACAAAAGAACATATTGTTCACGCTGTTGAAAACAAGCTGAAATGGTCTGCTAATACACATCCTCAGTAATTCAGAGGTCACAGTCACTGCACTGTGTACACTTTAAAAGTCTGAGAAAGGTTAAGCTGTCACTGGGGGTTTTCCCAAGGTTCTACAGAATAAACGTAGGCGCACACAGGCCATATAAGTAAGTAAATAAGTGCAGGGCAGTATAGAAACTGCAGTGCATTGGAAAGCATTATAGGTCATAATTAAAAAAAGTACTCCAGCAGTTTAATATGTGGAGAGACTTTGAAATACACATTAAACAAAAGAAAAGTCAAAGCAAGGCTGAGACAACCTATTTAAGTCACTAATATGGGTCAAGCTCCAAGAACACTAGATCCTGCATTTCCCATAATGCAACTCAATAGCTTATCGATTTAGACGCACCCTGCTGGGTAAAAATTCATCTCTTCAAAAGTCCATGAACCCAGTCTTTCTGTTCAGTCCAAGTCCAGATAATAACCCCAGTGATTTTATCAGGGTGATTTTCTCAGACTTGAAGTTGGTGGAGGACCTCTTTATGTACACCCAGCACTACACTGGTTCACCACACCTCCACCAATCCTACATACCTATCACAACATGTAGTGTGAAAAAAGAATTTACACACACCACTGCACCGGGGCCACTCACAGCTTTTGTTCACCTGCCTTGGGATTATGAACTGCCTTCACACTCACCTAACTGTCATTTGCACATTATTATTGCTTCTTTTTGCTGTTATTTCTCCTCTCTATATACTGTACAATGCACTGAGGTAGCAGTTACTAGTACCCCTGGACTATTTAATACCATCCAATACAGCAGTTCTGCAATAAATCCTATCTTTGCTAAGCTTATGAAACAAAAATAGCTTTTGATATTTACTCTTTAGAATCAGTGTGAATTTGCAAAACACCCAGATTTCACATAATTTCACTATAGTGCTGGAAACGTGTGCTACATGTCAGTAAAAGCTTAAAAACCACAGTTCATCAGTTCATTGGCTCTCTCATACTGTCACTCGTATGACAGTGTCAAGTCCACTTTAGAAACAACTAGTGACTATATTTAGGCTACACTTTTGGCTACACTTCTTTTAAACAAAATCACAAAAATAAGTTTAACAATTATTTGACATGTTAAATATCAGATTTGCACTGGATCAAAGCAAATTTTTACTCCACAGCCATTTGTGTATTAGACCATATTAAATCATTGGTTGGGGTTACTCATTTTATCCCATAGGAATAGATTATACAAAGAGATCTGAAATACCTCAGCTTTTGTTCTAGAGGTGTTTTCCTGGAAAATAAAAAAATAAGTTTTAATTATTTAAAGACACAGTATAGGTCAGTCTGGCAACTGGTCACATTTCATCCTGTTACAGTGTATTTTAACAAGCCACTGACCAGCCCTGCTGCTGACAGCTCCTCTGATCTCCTAGGGCTGTCAGGGATTGTTATCAGTGCCAACTCGTAAGGGACTAAAGCCTGGGTCCCCAATGTATGGAGGGCCCCATAGAGAGGAGAGATGACAGAGAAAAATTACGGATTTGGTGGCTGCTCATCTGACCTTTTTCTGCAGATCAGACCAGCAGCACACACTATTTCAAGCACTAGCAGAGGAAAAAATACTGGTGCAGCTGTGGATGGTGCTAAAAAGTTTTTTTCTTCAACAGCTGAAATAGCCGGGAATAACTGGTCAAAATATATGTCTGCTTCCTTCACCACCCAATGATTAAAATCCACATTTACTAGTTGATTGATGAGGGTTTAGGTTAATGAGATACCTCAGAGCAAGAAAATATTTGCAGTAGAAAATATGCAAGAAGAAAATCTTACAGATTAATAAATTTAAGCAACAATTGTTTCAGAGAAGATTATAAAAAAGGTGTAACATCTATATATTCCCCGAAGTAAGATATTTTACAGACACCAGTATCAATACCAAGCCCTTAAAAGTAATCAATATGTTGTGAACTTAGCCTACTGTAATCAGCCTGTAAAATACCCATCATAATACATTTTAATTGTAAAGGTTTATAAATCACATAAATCATTCCAAAATTCTGGGCACATAACCTCAGAGTCCTCAATCAGATGTGTATATCTATGTAGCCTTTCATGTGTCTCCCAGTTTTCCAGGAGGCTTGAAGACAAAAGTCTAGTTGTGTTTACGGCCACTAGAGGGTGTCAGATCTAAACAGTTACAGTAAGCAATAGACCTCAATGCCATACAACCTGTTTTTATCATATATGGTCTGTTTTGACAGGGAAAGTCAATTTCCCTGGTCCCCTTAAACTGTGTCAATGTCTGTCAGGCTATTTTTAGACCAATACCTGTATAATCATTTTACGTCTCAATATTAATGAAACACATCATATGGGCACGTTGACAGCAATATCCTCCTCTTTCACCCCAGTTGTCTTTGTTGCAAAAGAAAAACAATGTAATCATAATGTAGCCAAAGTAGAGCTTTGATTGGGCCCAAAACATCGGGTTCGACCCGACCCGAGCCTGAAAGAATTCTGTGTGACACGAACCCAAATTCATCTAAAATAAGTATTCTAAATAGTTTATTAATAGCTAAAGTAAACTATATAGTGCATATAATACAATACATTCCTCATTCTTAAAATAAATAAATAACAAATTCATTCATTACAATCACATGCATTATAAATCAAATATTAAATCTTATTCTGTCAAAGCCTGACCCGAACCCGACCTATGACAGCAGCTTTGGTAAGACCCTGACCCGAACCAGGCGGGTTGGGGCGAATCGGGTTCTGGCAGAAAATCAGAGCTCTACGCCGAAGTCACTCAAACTTGACTCATTTCTAATGCTTTGAACCTCCGGGATCCCAAAAAGACCCTTTGTACACGTGTGTACTCATTCTTCAAATACCTTTGAGCGTCTAAAAAGGGAATATAAATATAAATAATGTTACTAAGGCAATATAAATAACCAGGTTAGTTCATATATAGCAAAAAACCACGACTTTTTTCCAACGAGTCTTCGGAGCCTCAGTAGACGGACTAACCCTCGCAGCGGAAGGAAAGGTCTAAAGCTGGCCTCGGCGGAAGGATAGCATATAAATACGTAACACGGCAGTTGCAGCCAGTATTGTCCAAGTCAACAGCGCAGCGAGAGGACCTGCTGTCTGTTGTGATGTGACAGAGCTGTACACTGATTAAAACTGTACAGTTAATATCAGCTGGTGAACGTACAGCAGCTTAACGGGAACCTAAATGTAACTGAGGGCGACAGTTGCTCCCAGTGCTAACGTTAGCTGCCCTGTCAGACTTGACGACGAAGGAAACCACGAAGTCTTGTATGTCACACGGATGAAATTAATGTCCACTGAGGAGACGTCTGTGTTTGTCAAGCGGAAAGAAACGTGTCTTGTCGAAGAGGACAGACAGCAAGGACTAACGCCTCCAGACGAACAGCAGCTCTGTTGACATTTGTGTTGCATCCTTTCTATGCTAACATTGACTGTGGACTAGCTCGCTGGTGTGTGCTAGCCGTATAGGCTGCTAGAGCGCGTATGTTGTAGACAGGAGCGGGTTAAATTATTCAGTATCACCAAACACGGTAACGTTATTTCCATTTTCTCGTTAGCATGTTTGCAGAGAGCCTCTGTGGGCAGCAGCTATGACGCTAGGTGCAGCCACAGGGTTATGTCACTGTCGGGCTAACAGATAGCTCGGTGTCTACAGCTGCTGCCAATCCTTTGCATGGTCATGTCCAGCGGGGTTGGCATCATGTAGACTGTCCCACTGAACAGGTTAGGTGACCGGGGACACGCATTGTGTTTAGTGAGCCTTCCTTGGAGAGTAATGCAAAGCTGGATTGCAGCTATCCAACTGGGTCAAAGACTGACAGCTGGCACTGATACAGTTTAGCTCAGGATTGTTGCTAGCCATGCTCAGAGCCGTCTGTTCTGTGTGATATTGCAAACATCTCAACCTACTTACAGGGCATGTGAGTGCACCATGTCCTGACTGCATCTCTTATTTATGCAAGAAGGCACATCAGAGCAGCCTGTCATGAAATAAATCCGCAGTGGCAAGAAGCAGCATCAGTAGGACTGAGTGGATCATTTGCTCCAGGAGTATTTTCTGAATAAGAGAGCAACATTCAAGGCATCAGCTGGACCATCAGCCCATCGCAATGGAGGCTGTGGGAGATTTTGAGTACAGCAGAAAAGACCTGGTTGGACATGGAGCCTTTGCTGTGGTGTTCAAAGGAAGGCACAGGAAGGTAAATAAACGCCTGCAGTGTTTTCTTTCTCCCTCTTCTCTTGCAGGAAAATCTGGGTCAGTGATTGGCAGTGCACAATGCAGTTCTGCAGCAGCATATGTGGGCTGTCACCTTTTTTTTTAGGATGCTAATTTTGCACTGTTTTAGGACTAAACATGCAGGTCTGTCTGATGTACTGTACAGTCATGCTGTGACAGGTGATTTCAGTGTTATTTCATCAGCCTGATGGTAGGTGTACGTGTATTTCTGCCGTTTGGTTCATTCATGAAACGCATGAGTCAGGCAGCAGTGAATGACTTGCTGACGTACTGAGGCAGGAGGGAGGACGGGGTGCAGTGTTTTTCCTTCTGCCTTTTTAAGGATACATGCCTCCCTTATGTAAGAGCTGAACAAGGTTCATTCATAGCTGAAGCACAGAGAGCTGTTGGATTATTAAGGTAATGCTCAGTGCTCAGTTAACCCATTACATCTGACTGGGGTGTGGTTTTCTGTCCCAGAAGGACACAGGAACAGTCGGTTTGTTTGTGTACATGTGACAGAGATGCAGGAGGTGACATCACGTTGCCCCCGTTGCTACTGTTTTGAAACAGATGGTCCTGAATTCCTTAATGAAAGCTACATTAGAGCCTCCCACAGTCCCTGCTGGAGCCACCCATAACTGTCCCTCAGCCTGGAAACTGAGCTGCATGTAGGCCTGCAAACAATCACACATGCATCACTAGAAGCTGTGCACATCCGCTCACATGCCTCCCAGTCCTGTTAAAAGAGCCCTGTCATGTGATCCGTGTATTTACTGTTTAAGTCCTATCGTCTCCATGCCGTTTAGCCTATTTATAGGATTATTTCCACCTGGAGGAACAGGAAGGTTAGAGCGGCCTGCATGCAACTGACGTGGTGATTGCTTCATTGCTTAGTGTTAGATGTTGCGTATGGGCTCCTGTTAAACTGTAAAAATCAGTCATGAAATGATGTAAAAGGCTCGTCAGAGATGAGGCAGGACACTCAGCTAATTGGGTTAGCAACTGTGTTTTTGACGACGTTAGGTAATTACATCATACACATTCAACATGTCCAAAAGATGCAAAATTCATTAAGATGTAACTTTATGCCTGAATTCACCCTGAAAAGCCCTTTTCACAGATTATTGCAACAGCTTGACCCTCTGCAACTCTGCAAACATATAAAACTTTACAACTTTCACATAGACAAGTTGCAACATGGCACAGCAGCAGCAGCCAGTGTCAGCAGTCTGTCTCAGTGTATTCAGTATGAATAATCAAACATGTAAAATGATATACAATAGGGCTGCAACTTCACTGTCTGTTAATTATATTCTTGATTAATCAATCCATCATTTAGTCAATAAAACGTCCTCAGAGTCCTCATGAAAGACTGCTTCTTTTGTACAGTCCAAAGATATGCATTTACAATGATGACTGTGAATGAGCTGATATTATGGTAAACTCTTCCCTCCAACCATGTTGAGTGCTACCCACTAAATTAGAAGCACTTAAATGTGTTAGTACTACTTACTAGTTGTTAAGATGAAGAATGGTTTATTAAGTGAAAAAAGGCCATAATGAAAGCGCTGGAAGTGGAATCAGATTGAAATGTATCAACTGATGTATGGAGGAATATCTTGGGATACATTCATACCTTCTGTTAAGGCCACACATAGGTTATTACATTAGTCAAAAGTTAAACTTGTAAGGCTTTTTTTCAGATGCGTCATCTGTGTGTGTTGAATGTCAGCATATTTCAACATTTTTGAGGACAAAAAATGACAATTTCTTTAACTGGCCCAATAAGATATTGGTATTTTGGTTCTATTCTAGTATGTTGGTCTTCCACTGTCTATTGTAACGTCTTTGGCCAGCGTCTGGTTGCACTGTTGTTAATCTCCTTGCTCACACCTCTGTAATCGCAGTGATTCATAAACGAGATCATGTATTATTTTGGAAAATGACAGCGTAGTTCCGTCTTTGCAGCGGAGAACTGCTGACTCTGCTCTGCCTAACTCTCCATTATGTGCTGCACTACTGAGCCATTAGTTCAGTTTGATAGAACGTCCCTCCCCCTCGCCTGCACCTTCTCACCCCTCCAGCCTTACGTGATGGGCCAGCGGGGTCACATTTTTTTATTTCTCTATGGGTGTAGTGTCGGCAGCTCAGTCACACTTGGCTGGGCAGGCCGTCATTGAGCTGGAGATGGATGTGGCTCAGTTGGCAGTGTATTGTGCAGGCACGCACACACACACAGACTCATGTCACTCACATGCAGTCTCCAGCTTGTGTGCTGGTTTCTATGCCAGGCTCTAGGCGTCCCGCAGAACAAGAACATCTCCTTTTAACCTAGATTCATTTGGAAAGCGAGTATTTTTATTCACAGAATTCCTTCCTTAGCTTCCTGTTTGTCCATACTGTCTGTGTGTTTTTCTCAAGGGCACAGAAACGCTCTCTCTGGGGTTTATTTCTGCGTCCTCAGTTTGGTGTTTGCATGTCAGTGCATATCCTGAGAGTCTTTGAGCTCACGTGATCTCTCAAATTATTTTTATACCTGCTTCAGGAGCTCATCTGGAAACATAATCTCAGCCCGGAGAAAAGAAATAGGTCCCTCTCCTCTCATGTAGCTTTTAGTGTAAGTAGGCTGGCTCCGGTTCTAGCTGTCATCTGAGTGCCTCGTCATTCAGGGTGTCATTCAGCGCAATAGGCTGGCCTAGCTGTCAGAAACCTAAGTGACCTGGTGTTATTGGGACGGATAAAATGTCCTCCGTCCTTCTAGCCAGCTCTCACACAGTGATGCTGACAATGTAATTTAGGCCAGCAGGCTTGGCTTTTAGCACACACACATATATTGTGTGTTTAATGTCACGTTTAAAAAACAAATGTAAGTGCCACTGCAGTAGGAATGGGTAAAAAGGTTCAAATCCAGCATCATGATAAATAATGTCTATTTTTCCAGGTTGGTCTTAATAGACCAGAATACAGTAGAGTCAGTAGATATGCAATGACTGAGGCGAGACAGACTGCATTCATGGTATGATTCAGTGCTCACCAGCGACAGTGGTTTAAACTGGCTGAAACAATAAGTCAATAAATTGATTAGTTGATCGAAAGAAAATTCAGTGATATGGTAGATGAAATCATATTCTGATTATTTTGACAGATTGCTTTGTTATGATGTTATGATTGATGATTAGTGTGAACGATCATTTTTGCATCACAATTTTCATCTTCATGATGGTGTGACGTTTGCTGCGGTCTGTACCAAACCAACATTTTCTTACATCTGACATGTAAGAAGTACAGTCATTTATTATAGTGCTGTTTTGTCGGTTTTTACCTTGCATTTAGATATTGCAATTCCACTAATATTTCTGTCAATTATCCCTAAATTAGTTTTCAAGCAAAAATACCAAACTTTCTATGATGGTAAACCCTTGG